CTTCTTCTTCTTCTTCTTCTTCTTCTTCTTCTTCTTCTTCTTCTTCTCCTCCTCCTCCTCCTCCTCCTCCTCCTCCTCCTCCTCCTCCTCCTTCTTCAGAAACTTGTGTCTTTTATTTGTTGTCTCTATTATCAATGTCTCTGTTTTAAATCCTTTTATATCCTTTGGCAGTAGTCCTTGTTCTCCATATTCATCTGGGCTGTTGTTTCCCTCTTCCAATTCATCGTCTCTGTGCTTTCTTTGTTCTTCTGCAAGCTGCAACACCATTACTTTGCTAATCATAGTGTCCAGCAATTTCAGTTTGCAGCTCCGACTTAAATTCTTTACTTATTTCTTCCATTTCTTTGTTAAAGATCAAATTTTTCTATTATAGTTTTTGCCAAAAGTCTCCTCTCACTTTCTCTTTCTTCTGTTTTCTTGTCACAGTCAACCTCCAGCAGTCCCAAAATATTGTATTCCTTTATATTTTACTCTCATCCACTCTTAAAAAAAAAAAAAACACCTTCCAGGGTTTTTGTTGTATTAACAATCTTTTATTCCATTTCTTCTCTCTTTCAAATATTTGTATGACCAGTAATTTTCCATAAAAATATAAAAGAGGAAACTCTTTAACCATTAGGTGGTGCTCTACTTTTTAATTCTCTTTTCCATAGTATTAATATTAAATTTTATCCATTCCAAATATGTCCAGCATTTTATCCAATGCCTAATTAATATCCAATTCTATATATTAATCCAAATTTGATATCTGATTTCATATAATTCTTTTATTTCCGGTATTTCCTTTACCTTATATTTTCCTCTTATTCCCCGTTCACTGCAATCATTCTTCCAAATGAGGACATTTTCTTTCCGCTTTTCGGGATTTTCACAAAAAAATAAAGTATTCAAAGTCTTTTATCCAGTGACATGCTGCTCACCATTTCCACTCTCCAACACAAATTTAAGTCCGTTTTCAGGGCAGCCCTTAAACTGCTGCTTCTCCCTGTCTTCCAGGGGAGTAAATACCAAGCCAGGGAGGGGAGATGAGGCTCCCTTCCACCCAGCTGGCAGTTTCCTCCTCTTCCCTCCACCCATACAAGGTGGGTCAAATGGTTCAGTCTCTCAGGGACCCCTCCAGCAGGCCAACCATGGATCAAAGCAGTGCATGATCATGGTCAAGTCTGTCTTCGATGGAAATGCCACCAGAAGTCTGAAGAAGTCTGGGATATTCTGAGGGTCTCCATACAGTCTCAGACTGAGCTTTATATCCATAGCTTTTCAAGAGTAAAGAAGAACGGCATCTAATTCCAGGTTATTTCCAAGCAAGAATCCTTTGTAATAATGGAGAGAAATATATCACAGCAAGATCTGTTGCAAGGGTCGCCAACCTTTTGGACCTCAGAGACCACCAAACTCATAATTTTAAATCCCATGGACCAGCAACCCTGGGAAAATCCCCAAAAAATCTGCAGGAAAACCCCCCACCCTGTTTTCCTACTGATCGATCATTCTTTATTTGGGATCACAGGATACTGTCTTCAGCTCTGTTCTCAGGTGGAGAGAGAGAGAGAGAGAGAGAAAGACACTTTTGGTTACATGCAAGGAAAGCAGCAGAAGTCTTTCTTTCTCTCCCCCAAACTCCACCAGAAATGAGTCTTTGCTGGCACAGCCTGTTAGAGCAGAATGCATTGCAGGGTCCCAAAAATTCATTTCTGGCAGAGTTTGAGGGAGACAAAAAAAGACTTTTGCTGCAGCCAAAAGCAGAAGAAAGAAATAGAATTAGTCCAGTGGCCAGGCCAGGTGTATGGGCCAAGTAGGGCAAGTTCCCCCCTCCTCCCTTTCCACCTCCCCTCACTACCTCGTGTTGTGCACAATGCAAGCGACACAGCACTCGTGTTTCCGTGGACCATGTGCATGGCGCAGCCTTGTATTCCTGCGCAGTCTGGATTAATTGCTTTGGGAGGTACTTTGGGGGTGACATTTCTCTGTGGACCAACAAAATTTTCTCGCAGACCACCAGTGGTCCGTGGCCCACTGGTTGGCGACCACTGATCTGTTGTATAAACCATATTTTTCCTCCTTACTATCCTAATGGATATGTGCATACCAGCCAATTAAACTCTGAGCCAGGCTTCAAATTTAGCTTCATATTGGGTTTATTTGGGCTGCTGTTCTTCATTGTACCTTTTCTAATGTTTCTGTCATCATAAGCAAAACTGGATACAGTATTCCAAGTTTTTTATTAGGAAAGCCATATAAAACAGAATTAACATTTTATGTGACCCATGATAAAATCTCTCTGTTGATGCAGCATTGGGTTTTGGGTTTTTTTTTTTTTGGTACCTGCACCACACTTCTGGCTCTTATGTAACTGGCTGTTCACTAGGAATCTGAAATCCCTCTTGCAGGTACTGCTATTGACCACATATCACCTCTTCTATACTTGTGCATTTTGTTTTTCTTCCCTAAGTGTAAAGCCAAATTGTTCTCACCACTGAAATTTAGAGATAAGTAATAAAACTATTCTTTGTAGCTGAAGCAGCAGGAAACATTCAATATAACCAACACTCAGAGAATACACAGCTTTTAGAACCCAGGTTTCCTTCTCAATTTCAGTTAATCTTCTGTGTCCCATGGGACTCCTAATAAGTCTTGATTAAGGCTACAGGAATATTTCCAACACTAGATATATAACATAAGACATAAGAATTTATTTGTCATTACACTTGCAAGCGGGTGCAATGAAATGAGGTGCTCTTCCACAAGTAAAACTGCTCTGCCTTCAGGGAAATAGAAATCACCTGCATGAGAGAGGAAAACTACAATGAAAGCCAAAGAAGCCTATGCTTCATCTAAGTACCACAAACACCCACCAAAAAGCAGAGCAGCTGTTTTAACAAAACCCACCCATAAAATGTGTCAGACCCAAATTTCTACCATTTGGTTCTAAGGACTCTTCCAAAACATCTGTTGCTAGTGAATATGGCTAAGCATTATCATCATGGGCTGGAAGAGTTTAGGCAGCAATTCAGTAAGGAATTTTCTTGGCCCCAGTAGGACATGGCAAGCCCTAAACAGTCTTTTACAACCATAACAGGTTAACTGTTCAACTAAGTCTGATGCTCTTCCAAGGACTTTTACAACAGCAAACCCACAGGGGTGTTTCAACACAAGGAAGATGCACCATTGCCTTATGTAAGAACTGTAAATATAACACCTAAAAATATTTGCAATAGCCCACTGAAGTGATATGCTGCAATTATTATAATTCTATAAATAGAGAGCTTGTCTGTCCCAGGAGTAAGGTTTGGTCCAGAACCAAACCCAGCATGAAGATCCTTTATCTGCTGTTTGCATTTCTTTTCCTTGCATGCCTGTCTCAACCAGGTAAGAAACAAAATTAGTGATAATTTAACAAGGATTAATAACTCACTACTTTCTAAAGAAGTATAATCATCACTGAAAGCAGGCTAATCTTCAACATCCTATTTTTGTTTTACTTTATAAAAATAGCTTTGAACTGTGGGGACTATTGACAACATGAGCCTCCAAACATTTGAAAAACATGCCGTTGATTTTTCTTTTGCATTAAAACTTGAGATCTAGGAAATTATCAGTCTTTGAGGAGGGCCTGGAGAATTAAGTAATTGATTCGCTATTCTTGAAAGAACTTTATTGGGGGTATTGTTGTAGTTTGTTTTTGTTGATTTCCTTTACTTTTAGTATTGAATAGGACCAAATTCTAAGAAAAATTTGTTCTATTGAATAAAGAGGCACAATTTGCTGTGTCGTCAGCAGCGGAATTATCACCGGGTACAGATGGAGAAACCGTACCAGCGGGGGAATGGAGAGCACAGGATGGGGCATCAGGAACCAGAAGGGAATGGTGGAAGACAGGATGAATGCACATAGAGCACAGTAGGGTGAGCCAATAGGCAATGGGATTGATGACCGCCTCAATAGGGAAGGGACCAATGAAGCGATGGTCCAATTTCTTGACTGGATGGTCGACCCGTAGATGTTTTGTGGATAACCACACCCTGTCTCCTACAGCCAACGGAGGCGTCGCCTGACAAAAACAATCTGCAAATCTTTTGTAGTCCACTTTAGCCTGTTCCAATTGCAGCGAAACCAATTGATGAACCGAATGCAGTTCCGACAAAAAGTCCCATGTCTCGGGAACCGGGGAATCCAAGATCAACAATGGGAAAAACCTCAGATGGAAACCCACATTTGCGTAGAAAGGTGTCATGTGAGTGGAGGTGTGCTGAGAGTTATTGAAGGCAAATTCCGCCAAAGGGAGGTAAGTCACCCAATCGTTCTGTCGGTGGTTAACAAAACATCTTAAATATTGGGTGAGGATGCCAATCACTTTCTCTGTCCCACCATCAGTCTCCATATGGTGCGCCGACGCCAAACACACCTGCACTTGCAACGCGGTCATTAGGCTCTTCCAGAATTGAGTAGTAAACTGCACACCACGATCCGAAACTACCCTGTCCAGCAGACCATGCAGACAGAATATGTATTGTAAGAATAACTGGGCAGTAGTATGAGCCGATGGTAACTTCTGACAGGGGATAAAGTGGACCATCTTAGTTAACATATCAACCATCACGAGTACTGTCGTATACCCTGACGAAGAGGGCAAATGCATTAAAAAGTCCATGGAAATTGCCCCCCATGGTCTGTCTGGGGTTGGCAGTGGTTGAAGGAGACAAGGAGGTGCACCCGTCATGGCTTTCGCTTGCCTGCACGGTACACAGGATGTGACATAAGCATAGACATTATGCCAGACTCGAGGCCACCAAAAAGTCCGTGTGACCAGATGAAGGGTCTTAAAGAATCAAAAATGGCCGGCAGCAGAGTTGTCATGACATTGAGTCATGAGGAGGGCTCTAAGTGTCCTTGTTGCCATGTACAATCGGCCCTGATGTCATAGTAAGCCCTCCTCCAGAGTCCATGGGGAGTCAGGTCCAATTTCCCCCATTCTCTGCTGCGACCAAGCATCTAAACACTGTGCCTCTCATATCCAAGACCTCAAACCACTGGTTCTTGGATAATGGCCAAAGATTCCGGTGGCAGCACCATATGTGGAGGAAGAGGGTCCTCGGGACAAAGATACTCTGGTTTACGGGACAGGGCATCTGCTCTCTGGTTCTGACCACTGGGGATATAAGTCACAAAAAAGTTGAACCGAGCACAGAACAATGACCACCGAATCTGTCGCTGGTTCAACTTTCTCGCAGTGGACAAGTGCTCCAAATTACGATGATCCGTCCGAACCTCCACCTTATGCCAAGCCCCCTCAAGGTGATGTCGCCAGGTCTCAAACGCAGCTTTGATAGCCAGCAACTCTTTTTCCCAGATAGTATAGTTGCGCTCGGAAGGAGTGAGTTTCTGAGTGTGGGAATAAACTTTGACTTGGGTATTGGGTAATGATTAGTCTAAGACCTTATACATACATGCTTGCTTAAAAGTCACTGAGATAGTGCAAGGAAATTAAAAACAAACACTAGAAACAATCAAGCAGCTCAGACAACCATAAACAAGTCTGTACTATATCTAATTATTGTAATCCACAATGTGACTATACTTGCTATGCTAAAATCTCAATAAAAGGGAGCACTGGAATTTGCTCTGGGCTCTCATCCTGAGAAAACTCACTTCTGTCTCATCTTTTCCATGAGAGACCACCACAAGTGGTGACCCCGACGTGATCCACTGCAGGTGGTACGTATCCAGACCTCCGTGTTTCCTCGCCTGGAATAGGTAAAGTATGTACTAAACTATTGTTGGACAATAGGATTTTTCAGGGAACATGGGGGGGAAACTTTCTCAGCCACAAGAACGTCATGTTAGTGAGCTGCTGAAGTTAGTCAGGACAAATTTCTTTATCTTTAAATCATCCGGAGGGGAGCATATAGTTCTTTCAAGAGGTAATGTGAAAAATCTGCTGCAAGAGATCTGGTGGCAATGCCCCTGGTACTCAGAGAAGGGCTCTTTAAAGTTAGACACGTGGAGGAAAATTGGAACTATCCTTCATGAGGAACCACAGGCAACAGCTGAAATTTTGACATATTGGAAGGTTGTTTAGAGACCCAGCAACAACCTCTTTTAAAACCTTTAGCAGAACTTCCTCCTTATAAAGGAGTTGTGTTGCACCCTCCAACTCCAAAGCTGGAGTATGTTTTCTCACCCCCAACAGCGCCTACGCCTGTGGATGAGAAACCCCAGCCACAAATGGGAAAAGTTCAAGCAATGATGCATCAAGCTTTCAATGAGGGGAAATTAGAACCTTATGAGATTCCCCAGATGAATTTGTTTCCAGTTAATAGGCAAGTGGATGCTCAAGGCAACATGCAGGCGGAATGGGTTCCAATTCCGTTGGCAGTACTTAGGGAAATCAAGAAAGCCATTAAAGATTATGGTATTCAAAGTCCTTTTACAAAGGTCTCCTGACAAGTTTGGCTACCTCACGTATGATTCCTAATGATTGGAAAGATTTAATGAGAATGATATTGAGTTCTACTCAGTATGTGGTTTTTGATTCAGAGTACCAGAGGGAAGCTATTACTAGGGGACGGAATTCGGGGGGGGCTATATACGCCAGACCAAATCTATAGGGCAGGCTTGTTTGAATCCATTGCTGATCAAGCTACTAATTTGCCTGGTCGCGCACTTCCTGTGGTTATGGTGGCTGTCCTTGGGGCATTGTTGCGCATCCAGGATGTGGGAACCCCGGCATGGTCTTTTTCTCAAATTAAGCAAACAGCATCTGAGTCTTATAACGATTTTGTGGAAAGACTACAATTGGCTATTACCCAGCAGATCTCCAATGAGAAAGCGGCAAAGGAACTTTTGCTGAGATTGGCAGTCGAAAATGCAAACGCTGACTGCAAGCATATCTTACAGCCTTTGGTGGCTAGAGGTGAGGTTACTCTGGCTGATCTGTTAAAGGCATGTGCAGTGGTGGGTTCTCAGGCTTACAACATGGAGACTTTGGCTATGGCATTACAAAGAGGGATGAAACCTACGGGGAACTGTTTTAATTGTGGGAAGCCTGGCCATTTTAAAGCCCAGTGCCGAGCCCCTGGGGGGTGGAATGGCGTTTAACAAAAACAAAAATAAGGACGTCCACCCAAAGTTGGTCTGTCCGAAATGCAAAAAAGGGTTTCATTGGGCAAATCAATGTCGCTCTGATCAGAACCAAAATTCGGGAAACTAAATTTGGGGCGTGCAGCTAGCCCGTTCCCAAGGCTGTTACAAAGGCATCGCCCGCAACTACCGGGAATGCAGGTTTGTGTTAAAAATGTTGCATTCGATTGACATGACTTTTCCTAATCAAGTGTACATTGAGGACACTCATTTGCATGGGCCACTGCCAGAAAAAACAGTGGGATTGGTACTTCCCAGGTCTTCTGCATCAAAAAAGGGGTTCTTTGTTATTCCAGGGGTTATTGATCAAGATTATAAAGGGGTTATTAAGATACAATTGTACACTGATACTCCTGCATCATTAATGGCCAGTGAATCTATTGCCCAGTTATTATTGCTTCCATACATTCCTATGAATCCTTTAATTGGGATCCCACAAACTGGCGGTTTTGGGTCCACTGAAATGGCCAGTTTTCCAGTTGCTGCAGAATTGCTAGCACTGACAAAATATTTGACTACAAACCAACCAAAAATGACAATTGAAATTCAAGGAAAATCATTTTCTGGATGTATAGATTCCGGAGCAGATGTCTCTGTGATACGCCAAAAGGAATAGCCAAATGAATGGGTGCTTGAGGACTCTCCGGTTGTTCATGGCATAGGTGGTATGCAGTGTGCAAGAAGTAGTGTACATTGGTTGACGGCATTGCATAGAGCAAAAGGGAGACCACAAGGATTCAACCTCTTGTGTTGCTCCTGCACATAAACTTGTGGGATAGAGATTTGCTGTCACAGTTCCACACAAAAATTGTTATTGGATAATGGAAAAGTTACAACTGTTAACCTCTCAGCCAGACAGGATCCCCTGCTGCTACGGCAGCCAGTAGGCATTTTGCTTCCTCCCCTTCTGCAGGAGCGCCAAGACCGAAAGTTTGGTATAGAAGACTGCCAGATCCAATGTGGAGAGGACCTGTCCCGCTGATAACTTGGGGCCGAGGATACGCTGCCGTTGAAGATGAGGGGACAGTTGTTTGGGTTCCTGCTTGCTGTGTGCATCCTTATCATTAGCCAAAGGGGCAAGGGGGTGGATTTGGGGGAATGGAAAAGAAACACGTTGATCCAGGACATGGAGAAGCTAGCAAACCTTCATAATAAAACTGATTGTTGGGTATGTATGCACATGCCAACTCACAAAACATCAGGGCTTCCAATGGTTGCAGTACCTCTGGCTGAAGGCGACTGGTATAAGGGACAATGCTATGGTTGTTCAGGGATGTGGTCTAGCAGTTGGACTACAAGTAACATAACTACCTTACACCTTGGAAGCCGGATCCAAGAGGTGGCGGGTATCTGCTGGACCCACAATGAGACGGTAGAGAATATGACTTACTTGGGAACATATCCATTTTGTAACAAAACAATTGTTATTGGCAATGGAAGTCGGGTTTATTCAGGTGACATGAAAACAAAAAACCTTACTTACTTTGTACACAACATTTCTTATTTTGATATCACATCTTTCATCAATGAAAATGGGTGTCCATATATTCCTGCCACATGCTGTTCCACCACGAAAGAAAACCAGCTGCCTAAATGTGCAAATGGGAATAATGCACCATCATCCACTTATTTGGCTATGTTAATGGAGTCCTTTGCAAAACTAATCTGTGCTGAGCCAAATAAGGTTGGTCATCTCCTGGGAGCAAATCTTTGGTTGCTGTGTGGGTGGATGGCCTATGATCGCATGCCAGCACGATGGAAAGGGGTCTGCACCTTTGGGAAAGTAATCCCATCTCATGTCATTTTAAAATCTTTGGGGACTGCTCATATCGCAATGCGCATTCTGCAATGGAAGTAAACTCTGTTTTGACCCATGACTACTGGACACAAATATCAAGGGGAGTTATTCCCCCTTTAGGAGTCATGATGAACTATAGAGATTTGCATTGTTTAAACAATTGGACAGCTACTATGTTTAAAGACACCATTAAAATGCTAAAATTGCTTGAAGAAGAGCAAGGAAAAATTCTTGACTTTGTCCTGCAAACCAAATATGCGGTGGACACTATTTTGGCTGCGCAAGGGGGAGTGTGCGCTGTGGTTCATATGCATTGTTGCATGTATATCTCTGATTATTCTCCAAACATTACAGCTACTATACAGCATATGGAACAAACCTTGAAGGAGAATCCATTACAATCGGAGGGTGAGGGACTGGACGTGTGGTCTGCACTTTGGTCCTGGTTGCCAGATGGTTCATGGATTCGTCACCTAATTGTTGGAGTGATATTGCTTATTATATTTTCTATTTGTGTATGCTGTTGTATCCAATGTCTCCCTGGACTTTTAGGAATGTGTCGGGTGAAGCCTACGGAAGGAGAACTGCTGTTGCAGATGGCGAAAAGTTACCGAGGCATCCGCGATCATAAAAAAACTAAAACAGAGGAGATGTGGGAATAAGCTTTGACTTGGGTATTGGGTAATGATTAGTCTAAGACCTTATACATACATGCTTGCTTAAAGGTCACTGAGATAGTGCAAGGAAATTAAAAACAAACACTAGAAACAATCAAGCAGCTCAGAAAACCGTAAACAAGTCTGTACTATATCTAATTATTGTAATCCACAATGTGACTATACTTGCTATGCTAAAATCTCAATAAAAGGGAGCACTGGAATTTGCTCTGGGCTCTCATCCCAAGAACACTCGCTTGTGTCTCATCTTTTCCATGAGAGACCACCACACCGAGAATGGTAAGCATGGGATAAAAGAGGGGCGCCATCCGCTGGGGCTTGCAACAACACAGCCCAAATAGCTATGTTGGATGCATCCTTCTCCACCACAAATAATATCAGATACATAATGTGGTTTCCAGACTGATGAGCTGTATTCGAGTATTGGTCTAGTAAATGTTTTGTATGCTCTAGTTATTAGTGTAATATTACCAGAGAAAAATCTATGTAAGATTAGGTTAACAACTCTTAATGCTTTTTTGGCTATGTAGTTACAGTGGGCTCTAGCCCTTAGGTCATTTGAGATGAGTACTCCAAGATCCTTGATAGAGTTTGGATCATCAACAAGGTCTTGACTATTCAGCCTGTATTTTAATTTCTGATTTTTTTTTGCCAATATGTAAGACAGAGCATTTATTTGTTGAGATTTGAAGTTGCCAGTTTTTTCACCATTCTGATAGATAGTCAAGGTGTTTTTAAATGGTAACAGTATTGTCTGTGATGTTGAATAGCTTTATGTCATCAGTGAAGAGAACGCAGTTGCTCTTGATATGATCACAGAGGTCATTTATGTAGAGTATGAAAAGAATTGATCCTAGAACACTGCCTTGGGGGACACCACTGTTGACAGGTACAGAATTTGGTAGGACACTCCCAATTTTGACCATTTGTTGTCTGTTTGACAGGAATGCTTCTATCCAATTATGTGTGTGTCCAGAGATACCGTAAGATTTTAGTTTTAGGAGTAGTTTGTCATGTACCACTGAATCAAAGGCTTTAAAGAAATCTATGTGGATTGCATCTATTGCTTTGCCCTGATCGAGTTGTGTAGTCCATATGTTTTTGCAGTGTAAGAATTGCAAATTACATGATAGCTTTTTCCTAAAACCAAATTCTTTATTAGACAGTAGGTTGTTTGTTTCTAAGTGGAGGATGATGGATTGGTTAATAATTGATTCCATGACTTTTCAGGTGACACAACATAAAGAGATTGGTCTGTAATTTTCAACTAGGCTGGGGTCTCCCTTTTTGAAGATGGGGATGACTATGGCTTGTGACCCTATCTTTGGCAAGGAGATGGTCCTGAAAGATTTTTCAAAGATTATCCTTAAAGGTTCAGCAATGGCTTTTTTTAAGACGTAGGCACATATTCCATCTGGTCCAATAGATAGAGATGGTTTTAGACTGAGCAGTACTTTTTCAACAATGTCTCCTGTAAAATTGATATGTATTAGATCATTGTAGTTGTTCGACTAGGAAATACTGAGCATGATCCATTGCTGTTTACAAATACTGAGCCAAATAATATGTTAAAGAGGTTGGCTTTGTCATCGTTGCACTCTTTACCATTATGTCATTTCAGGGGTGGGATGGACCTTGAGTCTTTTAGTTTGTTGTTTATAAAATTGTAGAAAGCACAGGTGGAATTGGTGCGTAGAAGGTTTTCTTCTTGTTTAATGTGATAATTGGTGCATTCAGTTTTGATTTAGTGGCATAAATTTTTGTATCGGCTTTTGAAGTTGGCAAAGTGACCAGATTTATTTTTCTGCCGAAGTGATTTCTTTTTGGATTGAAGCTTCCTTATTGTTTTGGGTAATTTGTTTTTTCTGGTTTTGGGAATTGTTAATGGTACATATAGTTTGATGACTCTTTTGACTTCAAGTAAAAATATGTTGTAATGGTCTTCAACAGTATTGCATCCAGAGAATAGAAATTGCCAATCAAGGGATGAAAGATCGTTGTTTATAAGATCGTAGTTGCCTTTTTTGAAGTTATAATTGGGGATTCTGTCATTGTGATGATTTTTGTGTGGACGTATGTTGATTTTTGTGTGGACGTATGTTGAGACAAAAGTCAATCATGTTGTGGTCATTGTTGGAAAAGGGTTCTTTAATTTTTATTCCATCAATTGAATTCAAACTATTGCAGAAGATGAGATTGAGGCAGTTGTTAAGTCTCATGTTGTTGGTTACTAGTTGTTCCAGTCCAAGATTTGTTACTGCATTGTAGAAGGTTGAATGTGCGGATTCAGTTGGACATTTGTTAAGGGTCCAGTTAATATGAGGTAGATTGAAATCACTAAGAAAGATAAAAGCATGTGGGCAGGATGCTGCCCATGTTGATAGTGTATTTAGCTTGTTTGCATGTTCAATGTCATAATCAAGGGCTCTGTAACATAGGAAGAACCAAAATGTGATATTTAAGAACAGTTCACAGAGGATGGTCTCAGGAATACCAAGCCCCTGGGTAACTTGGATGTTTTTTAGATGTAGGGACTTTTTATAGAAAATAGCAACACCACCTCTGTTGTGGAGCGAAGGGACAAACGCAGCCAAGACCAGAGCATATAAGTAAAGGCTTTATTCAGGGGAATAAAGGGTTGCTGAGTCTGCCCGCTAACAAGGCAGACTGCTGGAGAACAACAACGGCTGGCTCTGTCCGGCAGCCGGCTTTTATAGCCGATTGCCAAACAGAGCCAACCAATGGGAGCTGCTAATGCTCCCGCCTAAAGTGCGGACCTGGTTGGGAACTCCAACCAGCTCCAAAGACATAACACCCCTCCCCCCTGGCTGGGTGCATGCATAGTCTTTGAGGTATGCTGGAGGACTCCGCTGGCGACCCGAACGTCTTAGCTCAGGAGAACTGCTGGTTGGCATTGAGTCCGAGGAGCGCGGGTCTGAGGCCGCTATGGAGTCCTCTGGGATTGGCACTGGAACCGGAGAACAAGGAGTCTCCTCTCGATCGGTTTGGCTTGGTAGACTGTCTTGGCCTGGACGGTTGGTGCTCTCGCAGGGTGGACATGCAGGAGCTTCGGGCCGGCGGCCTAGGTCCGTCCTTTCGTCACCTTGTTCGAGTGGGAATGTCTGGCCCCTCAGGGAACTCCCCTCTGGAAACTGGGTCAGGATTCGTGGGTTGGTTGCTGGATTTTGCTCACCGCTGTTCGGGTCACTCCGCCGTCTGCGTAGCTGGTCCAGGTGTCTCCGCCACACTCGACCGTCTTCTAATTGGACCCGGTAGGACCTTGGACCCGTGATGGCTACGATCTGTCCTGGCACCCACAATGGATCTCCTGCATAGTTCCTCGCAAAAACTGGGTCCTGCAAGGCAAAGTCTCGCACCTGGCTGTCAGAACCCAAAGGGGTATCAGGACAGTAGTGGGGATGCAGCCTATTGAGAGCGGTTCTTAAGCGTCTCCCCATTAACAGTTCAGCCGGGGATTTGTTAGTGCTAGTGCATGGGGTTCTATGCTGGCTGAGGAGGAAACGGGATAACTTGGAATGCCAGTCTTCCTGACCGAATCGGGCTAGCGCCTCTTTAGCTGACCTGATGGCTCTCTCTGCCATCCCGTTGCTAGCAGGGTGAAAGGGGGCCGTAAGGACGTGTCGGATGCCTAGGTTCGTGACATACCTGCTAAATTCACAGGACGAGAATTGCGGCCCGTTGTCGGAGACTATCGTGTCCGGGAGCCCATGAGTCACAAAAAGTCTGGTCAGGGCTTTGACAACTGCCTGTGTGGTGGTCGTGGGGAGTAAGGCAACGTCAATCCATTTGGAATACGAATCCACGACCACCAAGAAAGTCTTGCCGTGGACCGGCCCAGCCAGGTCGATGTGTAGCCGTGACCAGGGGGCATTGGCACTTTCCCACTTGGTGGGTGAGGCTGCTGGTGGGGCTGCTCTGGATTCCTGACAGGGTTTACAGGAGCTTACCCACTCTGCGATCTGATCGTCCATCCCGGGCCACCATACGTAACTGCGAGCCAGCGACTTCATTCGCACGATGCCCGGATGGCCCTCGTGCAGCACCTTCAATATGGGCACGCGAAGGGTGGATGGGACGATGACTCTGGTACCCCACAACAGGCATCCCTGGAGTTTGGAAAGTTCCTGTTGACGTGTTTTAAATGGGACAAAATCAACTGAACACTTTGTTTCCGGCCACCCCCTCCCCACCCAGTCCAGAACCTGGGTGATTAGTCTATCTTTCTTGGAGTGTGCCACGATGTCATCAGCAGTTACTGGTAGCTTAAGTTCGGAGACTTCGAAAATCGCGTGCACCGGAGCTGGATCTTCAACTGGGGTCGGTAAGGGGCAGAGGCTGAGAGCATCTGCGTGGCTTAAGGTCTTACCGGGGCGATGGATCAGCTTGAATGAATAGGCCGCTAAAAACAATGTCCATCTGGTCATCCTGGGAGACAGAACTTGTGGAGTTTGCCTGTCTCCCGATAAAAGTCCCAAAAGCGGCTTGTGGTCTGTGATGAGTTCGAAGTGGTGGCCAAAAAGGAATTCGTGAAATTTTTTGACTGCCGCTACTGCAGCCAGAGCCTCCTTGTCGATCTGGCTGTAGTTTCTTTCAGTCATGGAAAGGGTTCTGGAGAAGAAAGCAATTGGCGCTTCTGTGCCATTTGGGAGCCTGTGACTAAGGACAGCTCCTATCCCGAAGTGGGATGCGTCAGCGGCTAAAACCAAAGGTAGGCGTTGGTTGAATTGAATTAAAACGGCGTCAGAGGTGAGTAGCGATTTGATTGCTTTAAATGCGAAAGACTCCTTGGGGCCCCAGTGCCACGGAGCATCTTTATCTAATAGCCTGTGTAGCGGCTCAGCGACTGAAGCTTTGTGTGGCAAGAACGAGGCGTAAAAATTTAATAAACCTAGGAAGGCTTGCAGTTCCATTTTATTATTTGGTGTGGGTGCCTCGTGGATGGCTTTTACTTTTGACTCCACTGGGTGGATGCCTGAGGCGTCGAGTCTATATCCTAAAAAGTCCACCTGTTTAGTGGCGATGGTGCACTTCTCCTGTTTGAGTTTGAGACCATGCTGTCTAAACTTCTCCAATACTGCTCTCACCCTCTGGAGGAGTTGGGGCCTGTCCTTCGCGGAAACCAAAATATCATCAAAATAGGGGACTACTCCTGGAAGACCTTGGAGGATTCTTTCCATGAGCGACTGAAAAATCCCCGGAGCCACGCTAACGCCAAATTGGAGGCGCTTGCACCTAAATGCCCCTCTGTGTGTTACAATTGTTTGCAAGTCTGCTGTGTGGCTGTCGACAGGGAACTGTTGATACGCCTGTGACATGTCTAGTTTGGCAAAAATTGTGCCGGGTTCAAAAGTGTGCAATAGGTGCTGGATAACTGGAACGGGGTATGCGCTAACCTGAAGGTAACGGTTGAGTGTTGTTTTGTAATCAGCACAAATTCTCAAACTACCGTCCTTTTTAAGTGGGGTGACTATGGGGGTTTCCCACTTGGCGAAATCAGTGGGTTCAATTACCCCTTGCTCGAGGAGTTTGTCAAGTTCCGCATCCAATTTGGGGTGGATGGCGAAGGGGACCCTATGGAATTTCAGGTGGACAGGAACTGCCTGGGGGTCTACTGAGAAAGAGATGGGTGTGCCATTGTAGCAACCCAGCTCGCTACTGAAAATGTCGGAATAATCAGAGAATAATGTGTCTACATCAGAAGTTGAGACAGCATGGATTCCTGTGACATTAAGGCCGAGAGAAGGGAACCAATCTAACCCCAAGAGGCTAGGGAGGGTACCATTAACCACCACTAAAGGCAAATGGCCTTTGAAGGTTTGGAATTTAACAAGGAACTTGCCTTTCCCGAGGACAGGGATGTTCTTGCCTTGATAGTCCCTCAGCGTGAGGTGGCACTTTTGTAGCTGTTTCCAGGTCAGTCTGGGTTGAATCCTTTTCAGCGTCTCCCAGGAGATGATTGAGAGCGCTGAACCGGTGTCCACCTCCATGGTACAAGGTTTACCTTCTAAGGAGAGAGAGAGTTTAATCTTATTAGGAGTTTGGGAAGTGTGGTTGGCGTGGTAACATGTGTAACAGTCTTCTACTTGCCTTTGGAGGCTAGGAGATGAGGGAAACTTCTGGGATGGAGCTCGTGCTGCCTGGCAGACTCTTGCGAGGTGACCTTTTTTGTGGCAGTTAAGGCAGCTGGCGTTTCTAAATCTGCAAGATGCCCGGGAATGGGCACCCCCGCAGGTCATGCACACAGGAATCTGTTGCGGGCCACTGCTGTTTCTCTGTCTCACTCCTACCTGGGGCTGTCTCAGTTGCCTTAAACGATGGACATCAGCGGTTTCAGGGGGTTCAGCTTCACTCATCACTTCCTCCGAGTGGACGGTGGAAATGCCTGGCTTTGGTGCAGTGCCCTGAATCTCAGCCGTGGACTGCACGGATAGCTCAGCGGCCAGGGCTTCTTCCACCGCTTGGGAAAGACTTAGATCTTTCCGGGCTAGAAGGCGTCGTTGGAGTGTCTGATCTCTTACCCCGCAAACGAGTTGGTCAAGAAGCATATCGTCTAAGTAGTTCTTGAACTCGCATTGAAGCGCGGCTGTCCTCAGGGCTGCCATGTACTGGTTGATGGACTCCCCTTCAGCCTGCTTCCTCATCCGGAATGTGAAACGTCTAGCGATCTGGGAAGGTTTGGGAGAATAATGGTTAGAGAGGGTTTCTTGTATTTCGGTCCACAGGACATTTTTTATCTCACGTGGTGCAAAGAGCGCGGTGGCGGTGTCGAAAACCTCAGCGCCGCAGTAGCTTAGGAAGTACGACTTCTTTCTGTGTTCCGCGGCATCCGCCAGGCCAATGGCATCCAGGAAATGGTTGAAGCGGTTCTTGTAGGAGTCCCATTTCTCCTCATTGGGCTTAAATGGTGGGAATGCCTGATTGGCATTCATTTCGGGACTCTCAGCCTCTTAGTGGGGTAGGCTGTCTCTCTGGGTGGTCGTGGCCCTTGGATTTTCGCAGCTTCGAGTGTCTCTCTGGGTGGTCGTGACCCTTGGATTTGCGCAGCTTCGAGCACTGGCAGCTGTGGCTGCAACGCCCGTAGCTCCCCGTGAGCTACAACCTCGTGAAGGCCGTTTAAATCTCGCGCCTTCCGGGTGCACTGGCGGCGGTGGCTAACAACGCTGGAAGTAGCTTCAATGACTTCAGCTCAGTGTTTCGCTAGCTTGATTTGAATTCAAACGGCAGCGGTTTGAATTACGCGCTCTTTTTGTGAGCGGGGCGGCTGAGGCTGTCAGCACCGTGACTTTCAGCTCCGAACGCAGCGGTTTTGAATTACGCGCTCCTTTGCGAGCGGGGCGACTGAGGCTGTCAGCGCCGTGACTTTTAGCTCCGAACGCAGCGGTTTGAGCTCGAGCTCTCAGTGAGCGAGGCAACTACGATCTGGATGCCGTGGCTTCAGCTCTTTTGCCTTCGGTGCTTCTGGTTGGCCGGCAGTATCCCATCCTCGTCACCAGTGTTGTGGAGCGAAGGGACAAACGCAGCCAAGACCAGAGCATATAAGTAAAGGCTTTATTCAGGGGAATAAAGGGTTGCTGAGTCTGCCCGCTAACAAGGCAGACTGCTGGAGAACAACAACGGCTGGCTCCATCCGGCAGCTGGCTTTTATAGCCGATTGCCAAACGAAGCCAACCAATGGGAGCTGCTAATGCTCCCGCCTAAAGTGCGGACCTGGTTGGGAATTCCAACCAGCTCCAAAGACATAACAACCTCCTCTACGGATTTCATGATCTGTTCGATAAACATGATAATCTCTTACTGTGGTAATGGAGTCAGGGAGAGATCCATTTAGCCATGTTTTACAGACAAATATAATGTCGAATTTAGCCGTATTTAGTAAGAGGAGAAATTCAGGTATTTTATTTACAAGGCTTCTTGCATTGAGTAGCTTGCCTTTCAGGTCAGTTGTGGTTGGGATAAAAGATACCAGGATAAACAAATAGATAGACTTCATAATAAAATCAGAGGGTGAATCAGGTAGGACCTGATGGAGACAAACATAGCCAACAACTGAGGGATACTATTATGGACAGTATTATACCTATGCTAATAAAGTGGTATGGTCTAAATGTGTGTGTGTGTGTGTGAAAATATGATTTGTAAAAGCAATATTCATACAAACCTGAATATATTAATTTCCTCCCTCTCAAGTTAAATTCACATACTTTGTTGCTTCTCCTTTATTACAGTGTCTAAATTTATAACGGAATATAAATATTTAACTTGTGACACAAATCATCCTATTAAGTGTTAAAATCTCAGCTAGGAATCAGACTTCACTGAAAAGAATTATTAAAATACACGTAGTAATTACTAGAGTTATCCTAGGAACAATCATTTACACATATCCATTATTTAGCTGCCTTTTTATTGCAGCAGTTTTACAACATAGGCAGGGTACATGTAATACTGAAATTACTGAGTTAGTATTTCAGGTGGATTTCCCTTTTCCACTTTTATCCTCATCCCTCATGTTTAGGGTCTTGTCTCAAATCAGTTCTATCACAGCATGGAGTTCAAAGGGGGTGGAATAGTCCATCTTCTCTAGTACTTCTCATTCATTTGAATAAAAGAGTCCATGGGAAGAGTGTGAAATTTCTATAACTACTGGATCTTTCTGATGATCCAAATAACCAAGTCTGTTGTTACAACAGGTAAATAC